GTTCATTAGAATATTTTGCAAATTGCATATTTCTTTGATTAATGCAATAGTCTATTTATTAGATTTAAAATAAATGAGCTTAGCTGTTCTTTGTATTTTTTTTAATAATAAAGATAATTCTCTTCCTGTTCATCTGGAAAATTCACATGACAAAAGGTCTGCAATATAAGGGAAATTTTTCAAATTTTTATTTTGTTTTGATTCATCTATTTTTGATATTAACTTTTTTGGTGTAGCACACCATTTTAGGGCTAAACATAGTAAATTCAGTAAACTTGTGCAATTTTGAAGCTCAAATTCTCCACAACAACATGACATATCAATGAGATGAAATTGTGATTTTGTAGAGGAAGGTCTTGGCTTCAAATACACAATTTATTTTGGGGTGTTGCATTTCCATTTTTGAGAATTTGGAAATCTACACAACCAATAAAAAGTTGTGGGACTAAGTGACTTGCATCATATGTATGATTTGCATTTTCATACATGTAGAAAAAAATCATACATACATACATTTTTATTATATTATTATTATATTAATTTAATAAAAATGTATGTATGTATGACCTGCATTTTCATGCATGTACATACATAGGGATTATTTGTCATTCCAGTTATATATAACATAAATTAAAATATTGTATTTATTCAGACAAGATCTAGGATATTCATCCTCTTCTTCACAAGTATATAAATTATATTCTCTTCAAAAGGAAAATCAATCTTTTGTTCTTATAAATTTTTGTTTTTAACAATATTCCTTATTATGGTAAGAAATAATGCAATTTCTGAATTAGGAAAAATATACCAAATACATGAAGAAATCGTGAACAATGTAATAGAAGAAAGGAGTGACATCGTAATGTCAATAGATAATTCTTTAAAAGATATGACAGAGGCTTTGAAAGAACATATAAATGTTATTAGCACTGATGATATGATTTTGATTTCAGAGTTGATGGTAAGTGATTTAGTGTTTCTGGTAATAGAAGTAATTAAATAAATGAATTTAGAAAATACTAACAATTACATCAATCATGAAAATTAGATAGAAGATCAAAGTGTTAATGAATTGCCAGTTGAAGATGTAGGCCTTTCTGTTTATTATTAATTTAGTCTTTTTAAGAATTTAAATTTAAATAAGCTTTATATCACATTATAGAACTGTGAGAGGGAGGAAATAAACAATTTGCCTTATACTAATAAAAAAATGAAAAGAAGAAAAAGTGATGATAATTATTATTATTATATATACAGGGTCTTAAAAAAAGTATGTTGTTTATCAATTTATATCGTAAATTTAAGTGTATATGATATTTTAGTGTTGTAAAAGCCATCTAGAGGGTTATAAGATTTGTGATGATCAACAGCCAATGAAATCAAATGTCCACTATGCTAATAATAATATGTTGCATTTTTATTTACTTTTTTTTAAACATGTAAAATTATGTCTTTTAGACTAAAAAATTCATCAAAAAGAATAAAAGAAGATAAATTTGGTGCCACAGTAGGGTAAGTGTTTATTTAAAAGAATGGTGGTTATTGCCACTTGTTGTCACTCTAGTTGTTATGTAGGTTTTTTACTAACTAGTGTAAACATGTGATCAAATACTTTTGTCTAGGAAGTGTAGTTATGATAATAATGATGACAACTTAACAAAATTGCCTGATGAGATAATTTTCTTAATAATTGAGTACCTTGATCTTTGCGATATTATCAACTTGAGCATATTATCAAAAACATGGGCAATTTTAATTAATAATGATATAGTTATACATGAAGTTGAAACTATTTTGACCATTTGCAGATCTGGTCAAAATAGGGTCGAAATAAGGTCGAAACTGATTTTTACTATGTATGTAGTTTCCTCAAGTTGAAACATTTCGACTTTGGAGTTTAATTTCGACTTCATGTATAGATATAGTATGGAAAAATTTATTTTTAAGTGAATTCCTTGTAACAAAAGTTTTCAAAACATACAAAGAGCAGTATCAACATCATTATATAACAAAAGGTTATGATGCTGTTGTGTCATTACCTTTATTCATATTCCAGAAAAGTTGTCATGACATATAAGCTATTGGTGGAAATGGTAATTTTGTTTTTGTAGCTGATAATATATTACTAATATTATTAATTAATTAATAAAGATAATTTTTTTAATAAAAGTTAAAATCGAAATCAATAACAATGAACTTAAATTTATTGCAGAAAGTGAGTTGGTTAATGGTAGCATTAAATTGAATCCAGTTTGTGTCATGCATAAAGTAATTATTTTTAAAATAATTTATTTTTTAAAATATTCTTTTATAATATTTATTAACATGTATAAATGTCTTATTCATTATGTAGCATATTAAATTTAATGTTACAAATTAAAGACTAGTGCTGTAATCCAAAAAAAGGAAAAAGTATGGTTGCAAAAGTGGTCGCAAAGGTAATTGCAACCACTTTTTATACGCCATAAATACAATTACTACCATCATCATAATTTACGGCATTAGTCTTTATTACAAATCCAATTTCTGTTCAATTTTCTTGTGGTTATTTTAATTATTTGATAAAATTTATAAGGGATCTCTCATCATTTGAAAACATCAAATTATATTTATCAAAGAATAATTCATCTCTCATAGAATTTAAGGATGATAGTTCTTGTAAATATTATCTCAGACAATATTTAAAACTTTAAAAATAGGATATGCATTTAAAATAAAATATAAAAATAACTATATAGATAGGATCTTCTTATAACAAAAAAAATTTATATTTGAACAAAATTTAAAAACACATGATTCAATAAATCTCTTATCAAAATTAGTCATTCATATTATTATTGCATTTATTCATTGAGCAAAAAACTTATTATTATTTAATTATTTTTATTAATGCCAAATCTACAAATTATGTTTTGATTTGGAGTTTTTTTAAAAAATGGTGAATTTTAGCTTGAAGATGAGCTCAAATAGGACACCAACAACTTGAATTTAAAGATCTTGTTGCTGGTGACTGGGAAGTCCTGGTTGACAAGAAGCTTCCATAGGAGAAGTCCTTGAAGATATTCAAAGAATTGTTTTCATAAGGGCTGCTTATTAGGAGGAGAGGTGATGGTGAGAGCTGATAGATGGTGATGTCTTCTTCTATTGTTGTGGTTTTGGACGAGATTGAGCTATTTGTCATGACAAAATTTCTAGTTAACATCTTAATAGGGTTCATTGAAAGAAGTTATGATACTCATCAACATACATACAAACTTTCCTGTGGTTTGGAATCTTGTTTTGGCATCAAAAGTTAATACCAACAAATCCGGTCCACAAATCATTTGAATATGATTTGCTTGAACTCACCATCCTCAATGTAGTCCCCACTACCTTTGATTGTTTTGATATTTTGACTAACAAAAATATACTCAAGACTGAGGTCATTATTATAAAAAAAAATTATTATTATTTGTTAATAATATTATTAAAAAAAGAAAAAAGAAAAAATCATGCATGGTTCATCTTGACCTCATATATTAGATAAATCCATTTTTTTTAAAAAAAAAACCGAAAAAAGTTTTTTTTTATATCCAAGATAATAAAGATAATGATCAATTAAAATGTGACATTTATTCATTCTGCTTTCTTTTCTTAGTGTTTATGATTTTTTCTTTTCTTAGATAAGTTTCTATCATTTATTTTGAAAACATAAGGAGCAATTTTTTCACCTTGTTCTTTTTTAAAATACTTCTGATGGTACTATAATTCTTGGGTTCCATGGTAGATCTGATGTAAATGAGTTTCATATTAACTATTTTTATATAGGTGTAGTTCTATATATCACTTAAGATAACAATTGGATATTATAAAACTGTTAATTATAATCACATTACAAATGACTAAATTTTGATCCCTGAAATTCTTGGTAATATCAATGTTCACTTTGTCTGGTTTTGTTGC